GGTTCTTATTTGCTTCAAAGCCAGGAAGGTTTCAAAAAGTGCTCAGCAATTTTTGGCTGCTGTATTTAGTTCCCCATGGAGATTTTGTGGTTGTTTTGGGTTTGGTTTTTTTTTTTTTTCTGCTTGCAAATAAGGGCCACAGACATTTGCTGGAGTTCACTGGTCACTCGGTCTGAGCAATAGGGTGAGTAAAGGAGAGTTCACCCACGGGAGCTGTAACCCTTGGCAGATGTCCTGGGGTCAGACCAGAGCTGGCAGCATCCACGCTGACCCCACGTTCCTGGGATTTGAATCCTGACCCTTTTCATGCCAGGCAAGAGTTTTACTTCAAGCTCAGTTGTCTGCTGGTAAATAGCCTCTCTGCAGAAGGCAGAACAGGTCCAGGAAGGAAACCCCAAGCCCATTTAGAAAGCACTTGTGTGTATTTGTGCACAAAACAGTGGGTAGCACTGAAAGCAATGGTAGGTGCTCACCTGTGACCCAACACAGCATGTGTGGTTTTACTCTACTGCAAGCTGTGTTAAATAAAAATCTATTCCTTTGTGGGTGAATATCTCCAGAACAGCAACGGGCACTGGTTGCCAACAGTTGCTTGTGCTGCCTTTGGACTCCAGGGCTTGGATGCAGGGGGAGCATCCCTGGGAGGTGGTCCAGGCTGTGAGGCTGCACAGGGAGGGGTGGGCTTTCTTGTGTCAGTCAGGAGATGTTGGAGAGCAAGGAAAACAGCAGAGGAATGATGTGTTACCATGTCTGAGGGAGACGTGAGGAAGGGCTGAGCATGGCAGAGGGCAGCATTGGGGTGTGATGGAGAGGCTGAGTGTCCAGGGCACATCCCAAGGGACACTGGGGAAGGCTGGACCATGGAATGCTTTGCTGTGATTTGAGAAATTGCCTTGCTGTAAGCTTCAGCTGTTGGGCAAAACAAGAAAACCTGCAGAATCTACAGGAAAATGTGGTGATGGTGACTGGGGTCTGGAGCTTGCGTTTAGTCACAAAACGGCTGTGGTGCGGGAGGTGACATCTCTGCTGCGGTCCCAGTGGAGATGTGCAGGGATCATGCTCAGGGTGGCTGGGTTTCTGCTGCCCATGTGGATTCCTGCAGGATGTTGTATTTTGGTTTTGCATTGTGCCTGTGGCGGGCAGGTCAGCACTGAAGACCAGCGGTGCTGCTTTGGGTTGTCACCCACCAATTCATGTCACTTAGGCCATTGAACAGCCATCAGGTGACACTGATTTCTTTTTTTTCGGTCAGCCAAAATCCCAGCTGAAGGGAGGTTTGGTACCGTGGCAACAGAAAGCTCTTGAACTCATTGCTTTATTCTTTAAGCACCATCCAGAGCCCAGGAGACAAGTTTTATAACACTCCAACTCCGTGAAGTTTTGCTGCCTTCCCCCGTGGGAGGATAAGCGCTGTATCTGAAAAGCCAGCCCACCGTGTGCTGTGTGTATCAAGCCTGGGTTATTTAAGCAGAGTTTATGGCTTTTCTGACAAGACAACAGTTGCAAGTTTACATGAGCTATGCTTGTCAGTTCAGCTCTTTAGACAAAAATAGAGGTAAGGCATTAAAAAAAAATGCAGAAGATTTTTGTGTGTATGTGTTAAACCTCAACTGTTAATTCTGATGAAGGATCAGGCTGTGAGCAGATATCGGATCCCTGGTGAGAATCAAATTCTGGAGCCCAGAATTTTTCTGCAAAGTTTATACAGTGGGGATTCTTCTAATTACTTTCAGTGGAAATTTACCTGACAGAGCTTTCCCAGGTAACGCAAGGCATATGCAGGAGAGCCGCTCAGCCGTTGACAGAGCCTTTGATTTTGTGCCAGGTTGCAAATTAAGTCTTTTGCCAAGGTACCCAAACACTTGCTCGTCAATTGCTTATCGCTTATTCATATTGCACATCGAGCACAGCTCGTTTCATCTGCTTGGGAAGGCAGCGCATGTTGACAAAAGTGTTGTCCAAAGTTGCTGTATTTTCTTTCCTCTCTCTGTTTGGTCAAGTAAACAAGACTATTCTCCCTGGAAAGCCACCTTCAGTGTCTGTGCAAGTGGGAATTCTCTAATGAGCAAAAGAAAAACCCTGGTGTGTGTCAGTGACACGTGGTGCACGCAGCTATTTTGACATGGGTGAGTTCTGTCCTACACCACTGCTGCGTGAGGCGTCACTACCAAAATCCTCCGGCTTGACTTGAGCCCTGGAAATCTATTGCAGAGTGGCCAGTGTCGTCTTACTGGTTTGGGTTGTGACTATCAAATATTCACATGGAGGTACTGGATCCTCAGCCTGGGCTGGCACAGGCAGGGCCATGGGGATGCTGCATTTCAGCAGTGACATGCTTTCTGGAGTTTGGTTGACACAGAGGATGCCAACCCATTTGTCTCGTTAGCTGGAGGGCGCAGGAGAGCACATGCCAAGTTGGTCCTCCAGAGCCAGACACAGAGCAGGAGCACCCACTCAGTGTGGGAGAGCTGTAAATCACCCGGTTAGCTTAATAGCGTGTGCCATTATTCTAAAGCAGTGGGGCTGAAACCTAAATCCAAATGAAAATACAGTCAATTTGTCTATACTTCACTGCCTGAATGACTATGTAATGTCTGGCAGCCCCGGCAATGCAGGGAGCAAGCAAGAGGCAACTAGCAGGGAGGGCAAAGTTCTTTTGTCTTCTTCTCTTCTGCAAGGTCTAGCATGGTGCCAGGAGATAGTAATTGAGTCTTACAAAAGCCATAAAGTAGTTATCGACCACCATGGAAGAGCCTGACAAAGGTTTCATCAGGCTAGAAACACTGCAGAAACAAACTCCCTCACCTCTCTGGGGCACTGCTCTCTATTGTCACCCTTGTAAAGGAGGGATTGGCAGAAGGACTCCTGGAGTCCCTGTGTTTGGTGGGAAGGGTGAGGCCAGTTTGTTGTTCAAGACCATTCCACAACTGCCTACATGGAACCCAACCTTACAGAGATGGTTAAAGCACAGTTTGGAGGCTACCAAGTGACTTTGGGAACCATCAGCTTTCATTGGGTTGTTACTGCTTTTAACTGGGTAAATGTTTATGGATGTTCAAGAGAAATTATTTCTTCATGGAGGAAACCATGCACTGAAACTGAACTGAGCGATGAATTTCCTGATCCAAGTTCTAACATGGGCTGTGCCTGTTAGATCTGCACCTGGGGAAAGGAAAACCTTCCAGGGTAATGGAAGAACAGAGAAAATCTGCAAGGGCTGTGCAGAATGAATTGTCCCTCCTCTCCTGGATGCTGCTCCTGGGAAGGAAAGGAAGAGTGGAAGGAGAAAGGCAGAGAGAAGAAAAGATTCAGAAGTTTGAGAGCTGTGGCTGGAGGAGGAACCAAGCTACAGCCATGGATGAAACAAAAGGGAAAGCATGAAGAAAAACACAGGCTGAAAAATGAATAGTGATGGAAAGGTCTGGGGTGAGAGGAGCTCTAAAGAGGAGGCTTGCCCCAGTATCTCGTGTGACTTACACAATCTGTTTAACAGCGATCGGTCATGTTCTTTCCCTGACACCAGCCGCAGCAGCAGCTCTGTGCTGACAGGCAGCGGGGATAAATGATTACTGACATATGCTAATCGGACAGTCTTAGACAGGACGTAAGAGGAATACATCAAGGTGGTGCAAAACACATTTCTTGGTTGAAACTCTCTGACTTGTACAAGTAAATTAGCTTCCAGAAGTCACAATGCTGCTTTGTTGTTTTAAACTGCAGTTAAAAATCAACAGCATGGCAAAAAAAATAACCCCACCAGAACAAGGGTGGAGTCAGGGGGCTGAGAGGCTCTTTGCAGCGGTATCTATCAATGCCAGAGATGATTTTGGCCGTGTAAACTCCCTGCAGGGTTTCAGTGCGTTCAGACTTGCTGGTGTCTCCTTTCCATTCCCCTTACCCAGCTCTTTTCCCTTCCTTCCTAAAATGCCCCCTAGCTCTTCACTTGAAGTTTTCCTGTAATTTACACCATGGACAAAGCTAACGGAACTCAAACAAGTACCCCAGAGCACAGCAGGATGCACAGATGAATTCAGGGAGATGTTTAGATCCCATTGCTAGAACAAGAAATCTTCACCTTGGCTCTTATTTGGATCAATTAAAGGAAGTGTCACGCACATCTGTAACCTGGCTAGACTCTTTGCTCGGTCTCAGGGTGAATATTGTCAATCAGGTAGTTTAGAGAGGTATCAAGAGTGCAGGCTTTCTGGAAAGTTGTAATTTTGGGGGTGAAAACACTTCTTGAAACATCTGGTGTGGTTTGAATTAGTTATGGTGAGAGCTGATAGAATGGCAGGCTACCAAAACGCAGGTTTGACTGTCCTGGTTGTGCAGACAGCCATGGGAATGCCAGCAGAGAACAAAAGCCGCCCCAGTACTAATAGGGAGATAAAGACTCTGCTTCTCTGGTGAAGCTCATGAACAAGTGCACAACAAGTTATAAAATAAGTCATTAAGCCCTTATCTGGGCAACTGCTGCCTCTCTTCCGGGGCTTATAGCTGCAAAAACCATCCCACCTTGGAGCCCAAATGGGGCTGATGATTTTTACATCCAGCATGGGAGCATTTTAGGGGCTGGGTCTTGGGGAGCTCCAAGGTAAAATCCTTGTGTCTACCATCATTGTGTGCTAAGGGTGTTATGTGGGCAGGGTGTCCCTGAGCTCAGCCAAGTGCTCCATACCTTCTCCAAGCGGGGCAGGTGCCAGAAGGACTCCTCCTTTGCAGGCAGTGGGACTTTTCGCAGCAATGTGGTACGAGTTTCACGCACTTGGTCTTTCTATAACCAAAGGTAAAGAAGAAGGGGCTGAAATGGCTGCACAGCTGTATACATCAGTGTAATGACACTGGCCTGAACAAGACAGTCACTTTGGACTAATGATTACAAGTGCCTGATCTGGGTGGGTAGTTTTTCACGTCCATGCAGCTAATACTGATATCTAAAAGACAGTGATGAGGAAAACATGAGCAGCTGCCAGCTCTCTGAGTGTTTGCTTTATAGGGCATCCCAGTGAGGTGACCGCTGCCTGCAGGAAGCCCCGTGCTCTGAGCTGGAGCAATGGCTCATCGCTCGCTGGGAAAGTCACTTCCACACTCAACATGGGGGGGTTTCCTGGCTGTCTGGTGTGTGCTGCTCTCTTGATTAATTGCAGCTTGCAGTGCTTGATAGTCCCAGCAAAACCAGTGCAGGTACCTGGTGCACGTTTTGGCAGCTGTGTGTAACCCTGGGGAACCTGCTCTGTGCTCTGGAATTAAGGTTTGTGTTGCTTAACTCAGTAATTGGTGGCTTCAGGCTTTGGGAACTTGATGGAGTGAACTTAGTGATTAAAAACATCAGTCGTTAATAGATAAGGTAGGGATGCACTTTCTAACATCCCAGGCTTGTGTATTCATAAAGCAGCTGCTAATTAAGAACACTGTATTCTTGCACTTCAACTATAAAGCATAGTTTGTGATGGCAGTAAGCCCATTGAAATTGGTCATTACCATATTAGCTTGACTCTTCTTTGAGCCATTAACTAATAAAACAGTCATTGGCTGCTTTTAAATGTTATTACAATATTGGTATGCTTAACAGCACAGAGTTGCACTCTAACAACTGCGGCGGGTGCTGGCATCAACCAGACCATGCCAGGACCAAGACTAGTGATGGTCCTTTGGGCATTTGTTGGCTGCTCCATAGTTTTGTCCACTGTCACAGGCAACCAGAGCAGAGCTGGTGCTGTCTAGAGGACGGTCTGCAGGGTTGCCGGCATGACATAAATACTAAGGATAATTTGAACCTAATTCTTTGTTACTGCAGGGCCTTTTAGTATTGTGGTGGTGCAAAGGGAATCAGAGCCTCTGTTCTAATTGATACGGGGAGTGTAGCTGGGTGCCCTGTGACTAGAGGTGTATCGATGCAGACAGATGCTTAACGATGGCTAGTAGGTGTCTCTGCGGGATGGGTGTCAGCCTTTTGCTCAGCTCCTGCATATATCTTCAGATACAAAAATACTTTCAAAACCCCAAACCTTCCTTTTGTCTCCAGAGCACTGTCAGGGACACATGGCGATATGCACATCCACTCTTCACTGCCACAGCATCACCTCCCAGGACATGCTCTGGCTGGAGCCAGGATCGCCTTGGCTGGGAAGCAGCTGATCTTTGTCAGGCTTCACCAGCCTTCCAGCAGCTGGGGAGGATGGTTTCCCAGCTGAGAGCCCTCCCCAGGGCTGGGTGAGGGTCTGTCCCCTGTGGGGTGGGACAGTGGGGTTTGTGCCTGGTAGCAGTGCTGTGCACAGCAGGGAAAAGCCCTGCTGGAGTGTGATCACCTTTTTCTTTTCTGCTCTCAGGGCTGCTGTCAGTGCTCTCTGCTGCTCCATCCACAGCTCCTTGTATCTGTGTTGGAGGAGGTCAAAAAAGGGCGTGCAAGGCCTGGAAAACATTGAAAAGACAACAATATCATCTCCAGGGGTAATGCTTCTCTTTACCTCCCCATGCTGACACCCATCTCTGCTGCTGGAAAATGGGACTGGTGAGAACACAAATAAACCCTTGCACTGGGAAAGGCTTTCTCTTCCTCAAGAAAGACTCAAGTGCAAGTTCATTTGCAGTTAATACACCAACTTAAACCTCTGCCTGTGGGGCCCCTACCACCCCCTCTGTTCCAGTCCCTGTGTGCTGGGGGAACCGCAGAGCACCCCAGACTGGCTCAGCCTTGGTCCTGCTGTGGCTCCAGGAGAGCATTTCCCAGCTGGTGTCCAATGGTGGGTAATGAAAGCACTGGATGGGGCAATGTCCCGAAGCAGATTGCTGGGCCTTTGCATCGCCATCCCGGAGCTCAGAGGAGCAGCTCTGGCTCTGAGCAGCTGAAGGCTGACCTGCTGGGTCCCCCCCTGCCTGACACAGCCAGGGCAGCTGCCTGGGCAGAACCCCTGGGTGCAAAGTGGTTATCTTTTCCTAAAATAACCCTGCTTTTGCTATTCAAATATCAATACTGTGGTACACCAAAAATCTGCAAACAGATGCAGTGATGGATTGGGTGCAATGATGGATTGGGTGAGAGGAGTTCAGTGCTGTCCTAAGCAACCTGAACAGGGATACAAATGGACTCAGTGCAGATGGTGAGGTGTCTGCAGGAGAAAGGGGAGCTGGAATGCTGAGCCCCACCCTAGTGCCTCAGCTGCAAACATGTATTTGTCCCTTGAAGCAGGGTACCAGGGAGCATCCCAGCCAGGTGGAGACGGCAGTGTAGAGGAGCTGCAGATGACGGTCGTTCTAGAAAAACAGTAAAAATAAAAGGCAGTTGCATGTTGGCCAGTGTCCCATTCAGCTGCTCTGAGCTGGCATTAACCCGACCAGCTTGTGGCAGAGCTGCAGCCTGGAATCCTTGAGCCTTGCTCCTTGCAAGTGAGGACACTTCAGCTTCATCAGCTGCCATGGGAGGCAGGACTGGCCATGGCAGCAGCAGGGTTCTTGCCTTGAGGGCAGCACATCACTTACTGCTGTGGTCCTGCTGCTATTCTTTTCCCCCTGAAGGCGATGGAGGCCCTTAAGTTTTATTGGTCCTTGTCCTTGCACACTTTGCTGGGGAGGGACTTTTCCCATCTCAGCAGCAACCTCTAACAGTGTGGAGCCATCAGCCCCAGCTCTGCTCCCACCTGTAGCCCCCAGTGCCCCAGGGCTTTCCCTGCCTGTCCAGACCAACTGCTGGGGACTTGGGACAGTAGCTGGGCTGCTTCTGGGCCACCAGCTCCACCAGAAGGTGTGGTTTGGTTTTTTTTTTCTCTGCAGAGACACCCCATGTGCCACAGAGTGAGCTGGTGCTTTGTGGCTTTTAGCAGGACTGGGTCCAAAATTGGCAGCAGGCAGCTTTTAGCAGTCTGGAGAATCTTTGACGATCACGGAGGTTACCAGCAGTGTGTATGCAAATAGTAACTCTTCTGTTTCTTGTTCCTTCACCCCTGTGGTGACTTTTATTACTTAATTATTGCACACCACATGCTTCAAAACAGCCTAATCTATGGTCGTGTTTTCTAATGATACTAGATGTGCGATCCAGCGATATACATCCCAGGGGGGCATTCATATCAGAGGAGACATCCTTCTGCAGCCCTCCTGCTCCATAGATCACATGCTGCAGGGCTTTTCAAGGCTTTGCTTACAAATCAGCTGCGCTGCTCTAGACGGTTATCCAGAGACAGCCGGTGCCAAAGGGGACACGGACACTTACCCTTTGTCTTCCCCTATTCTCCCTGCTCCTTCCCTTCCAGTTTGGCATTTCACACTGATCTGAGCTGGGAAAAATGTTTACAAAAGATAAAAGATATGGTAAGCCTGTGGTCGAATGTCTTATTGTCTGGGTGGGTCTTCAGCCTCATTGCGTGGTGTCGGCTTTGGCAGTGCTGGCAGAAGCACAAGGTGAGCCTTGCACATGGGCTTGTTTCCTTGGCCTGTCCCTTTCCTCTCTGGGGCAGAGCTTTCCTGGTGTGCAGGAATAGCAGGGAGGGATGCAGGAATACATCGAGCCTTTGTGTATAGTGTTTGATTATTGATTTTTGTGGTAGCTGACTGTTTTCCCATCTCTATGGAGGTGACTTTTACCATCTCCAGTGGACCAGCCAGTTGGTGACTGATTAGTCCACAGCTGGCTTGTAAGTAAATGCTTGAAAGGACACATTTGGGTTGATGCTCTTCAGAGGTCCTTCCCTGCCGTGTGATTAATCGCATTTAAGTCCTGATCCAGCAAAGTATAGAATCATGCCTGGAACAGCACACGCATGAACTGCCTCTTTGAAAGCGGTGGGAAAGACTCGTGTGCTTAGTTATACACATCAGCTCTGGTGGGGCTGCAGGATGTGAGGCTTCCTCTGGGTCTTCCTCCTTTGAGAGAAATACTGAGGAAGTGGAGAAGAGCAGGGGATATCAGGCAACACGCTTTGACCAAGGTTACTGGAGAAATTTCAGCGTGGCGGCTTTTTCTTTGTAGGTCAAAGGCTGATGTCATTGGAGTGGATGGGGAATTTTGGCCCCAATATCAGTGCCCCTTGGCAGTGTGACAGCATTTCTCATTTGCAGCTGGCCTTTGGGAAAATGTCCTCTGGCCTTAGTGTTACTTAAGGACAGGAATGAACGGCTCGTGTGTTCCGTTCCCTTTTGTCACCCTGCCCAGGTGTCACTCCTCTGCCTGGGAGGATTTTGCTCTTGTCTGTGGATGCTGTGGGGAGAGCGGGGGAAGCATCCGCTGAAAACGCTTATTGCGGATTAAAATCCATCTCTTTCAGAATAACTCGGATCTCCTTGTTTTTGGCAAAAGCACCCTGCCACAGGAAGGGAAAGAAGTTCTGATAAGATGTAACAAATTATTTATAATTGTGGAAAAAAATAATCAGCTGCTTCCTTTTATAGTCAAATAGTTGGAGCCACTTCTAATGTTGACATTTGCTAAATATTTTAAAATTTATCTGTGCACATTTCCAAAACTATTATCCCTGAAACAGTTCCTGTCTCTTTAATAGACTCTCTCTCTAATTTACTTTCAAGAGGCAGGGTACAGACCTATTTTCAACTGAAATGACAAGCGCCTGCTAGCTCGGTTATACAATGGGGTGTGCTAGTCTGCCAGAAATCTCCTGGAAAAGAAGCTGGAGCCTCCTAATAGGCTATTTTACTGTGAAAACAACGTTAAAAAGTATAATAAAGTATTAACAATATTAAAATAAAACAGTGTAGGCTTTAAATGAGCTACAAACTAGTTAAATCTATTCTATTCAATAGGAGCCTTCAGTGCCTTGCAGCTGATACCTCAGAGCTGGGATTTATCTAAAATGAAGGCACCAGGGACACACAAGAGAAATGGTAATTATAATTTGCAAACATTAGGCTGACACTTTTTTTGTGTATGTGTGTATAAATTCTGACAGCTGTGATTTGTGCCATGCCAAATAGTGCTCCAAACCTCTAGGAGCGGCTCCCTTTCTGGCAGGCCATCCTCAGAGCAGCAGCTCATTAAAACTTTGGAGAAGGAGAAGCTGCCGAAAACAGGAAGGCGTCAGAACCATCTGAGGGACTTTTGGTACACGCTTGTTGAAAGGTGTTTGAGAAGAGAGCCCTGGGTCTGACAAACTGGAATTTTAGTACGCCTCTCCGTTCACAGTGGGGCAAAATAATTGGTCATCAGTGACTACTAATTTGGTTTAGTAGCCAGAGGCGGTTTTTTTCTTCCCAGAAAATCAATGACAGTGCCGAGGTCTGTTCAACGTGATTCAGCTCAAGATGGGTCCTCATTTAGCTCTTGATGCTTCTTCCACTGGAGACAGCTATTTTGTTAAAATGAAATTAAAATCCATCTATAATACTCGGCTCAGGGAGCGGCACCCGTCAATGCCATGCTGCTCTTGAGGTTTCAAGGTTGTCAGTCTCCCCTCAAACTTATTTTCAAAGGTTTATATATCAACTGGGAAAAAAAAAAAAGGTACTTGGCAAAAGTGGCTACAAAGGACTTTGCTCAGGAAGGGGGTTTATACCAGCTTAAAAGGTGCAATCAATTTGATTGCTAAGTTGTGATGTAAAAGGGTAAAAACTTGACTTGTGATTGCCTTTTCCTTGTATTATTCAAAAGCATAGGGGCTTGTAAATATTTTAGTGTGAACTTCAGCCCTTGGATTTTCCGGGTAGCTCTCCAGCCGGTGCAGTCGGCTCCTGCAGCATTCCTCCCACTGCTGGTCAGGACGGGCTCTGGCGGAGAGTGGGGAGCAGAGGACACATGCGTGGGCATCCACTCCCCGGCGGCTGCGCAGATGTTTGGGCTGTGCCGAAAGCACTGCTCCAATTTCAGTGGCAGCAGGATCTGGCCCTGCATGGGTGCTTGTGCAACAGATAAATCATATAATTGGATTTATTTACAGTTATGATATTACAACTGTGTTGCAACACCACTGACTGTCATGAAATTTTAACCCTTTCTTGAAAATTAATGAGGTCCCCGGCGGCTGCGCAGATGTTTGGGCTGTGCCGAAAGCACTGCTCCAATTTCAGTGGCAGCAGGATCTGGCCCTGCATGGGTGCTTGTGCAACAGATAAATCATATAATTGGATTTATTTACAGTTATGATATTACAACTGTGTTGCAACACCACTGACTGTCATGAAATTTTAACCCTTTCTTGAAAATTAATGAGGATTCAAGGGCATTTAGTCCTTGCTGGTGTCCTTTCTATGGCTTTCTTGTGTACTTTATGGTGGGAAGGATTTGTCCTGTGGTAGCAGTGTCCATATAGAGATCTGCCCCTGCCTCGTGGCCGGGTCAGTCAAACTGGCTCTCACACCAGCTCAGGTCGGTTTTTTATTGGGAACCAGTTTGGTCTCCAGCATCCCTGGAGCACAGGGCTCGGTGCAGCTGATGCACGTTATCTTCAGCAAATAAAGCACAAGCT